TGCATTTACATTCTGTTCTAGTTAGGATGATGGACTGTTCTGATGCATTTAAGGTTTATAGACTTTTGAATGATTTCTCATCTAATGTCACTGAGAAGGTGGCTAAGTTTCTTTACTCTGCTATAAAGGTACACCAAGGGATCTCACAGAAATAATCTTATATTTATACAGATGTATATGTACGTTGTGGTATTAACATACCTTTTATACTGTACTAACTTGTATCAATATTTTCTATGCCAATAAAGGCTACTTAACTCTTAGCCTTCCTATCACTCAAGGTTCTCAGACCAGGTTACAGCATTAACTATTTACTGTCTGTCACAGGGGCTTTCAGGGAAAGGAAAAAAGGAAGCACAAGGGGGGGGGAGTCTATGGGGGGTTTCAGTGAAAGGAAAGAAGAAATAGTGAGGGGAAATGAGATGTTTCCACAAGTCCTTGCAGAACTGAAAATATCACTGTGAAAGTTGTCAAAGTGGTCATTTTTGGCATACTTCTAGCTTTCTTAAGCCATCTCTTTCCAAAAGCTAATATTCCTCAAGGCCTTTTCTACACTTGTTCTGTCTCATAAAAAGTAATTTGTATAATGTAGTACATACAGGGGCTGTAACCTTCATCTGGTTGTCTCTTCCATTACTGTTTCTACAGAGATTACTAGTTAACAATAGCTGTGAAACCAGATGTTAATAACAAGACTTAAAAAAAAATCTATATATCTAACTAGGAAAAAGGCCCGTTGTGGAAATAAATATGACGACCTCTAGAAAGAGGCTCTGGGCGGGTGCCCTGGCCTTGGACACTCAGTGTCAATTTGCTGTGGCGACCTCAGCAGGGTATAATGACACTGAGTCCATCATTTTCTCCAGAGGAACTGATCTCTGCTACCTGAAGAACAGTTGTAATTTTGAGTGATCTCCAGCCCTCACCTGAAGATTGGCAACGATGGTTCCACAGAAGGGAATAGTTGGTTTGGAGGGTGGAGTCTATGGCTTTGTACCTGTCCGAGGTCCCACGCCTCCTGAAACCTCACCCTCTCCAGGCTCCATCCTTCACATCTCCAGGAATTTCCCACCTGGAGTTGGCAACCCTATCTCCTTCCCAGCCAATCATCAACCTACCTTTATTTTCCCCTCACTCTTCAGCTTTCCACCCCCCACACACCTGTAGCCTCTCCCGTGCTCTGAAGCCCTGACTGCTAGGTCACATTGGCTGTCATACGGGGCCCACCTCAGCAGCATATAAGGATACAGAGCCCACCATTTTCTCCGGGGGAACTGATCTCTGCCATCTAGAAAGCAGTTGTAATTCTGAGTGATCTCCAGCCCTCACCTGGATATTGGACACATTTTACCTCAGAACATCAAACTGTTTAGAATGTTAGAGGCAAAAGTCAATCAAGTCGCATATGCAAACAACCTCTGTGTTCTGAGGCAAAGGCCAATGAGGCTGCATATGCAAATAACCTCTGTGTTCTGACTGGCTATGGTGGGGAGAGGAACAGCAAAATGTTTAGAATGTTGGAAGCAGGACTCAGGCAAAGCAGCCAGTGGATAGGGAGACCCTCTGAATGACAGATCAGAGAGCAAACTGATTTTGGAGCGTGTTGGAATGTTCTAGAGAAGTGCCACCACCATTCGGCTTTTATTTATAAGGGAGATTCTCAACAGTCCCCTCTGCATGTGGATACTTATTTCCCCAGAAAGGGGACACACTCTCACCCAACAGGTTTTTCTACAGATTTAGGGGACTTCCTGGGGGCTGCAGAAAACCCCAAAAAGTTTTTTAAAAAGGAACCTCAGAGAGGATTGAATCCCCCCTCATACCTTTTGAAATGGCATCCACAGGGTTTTACTCCAGGCCCTGTCACATCGACAGTGAGAGAGAGGGTGATTCTGCATCTAGCATTCACTCCACATTTTCTCAACTGGGAGGAAGAAGTGCAGCTCAAAACCACATTCAGATACCTCAGGGCAACACCGTACTGACTGCAAAGTCACCCCTGAATGGCCATAAATCTATGCAGAGGTAAAAGGTAAAGGTTTTCCTTGCTCGAAAGCCAGTCGAATCCGACTCTAGGGTGCGATACTCATCTCAGTTTCCAAGTTGAAGAGCCAGTGCTGTCCGAAGAGCCAGTGCTGTCCGTGGTCATGTGGCTGGCATGACTAGATGCCGAGGTGCACGGAATGCTGTTACCTTCCCCCTGAAGCGGTACCTATTTATCTACTTGCAGTTTCTTGCTTTCAAACTGCTAGGTTGGCAGGAGCTGGGACCAGAGAAGGGAGCTCACTCCATCATGCAGCACTCGGGTCTTGAACTGCTTAACTACCGACCTTCTGGTCTGCCGTTCAGCATCTTAAGGTACCATAAAATCCGATGATAAAAAGAAAAGGGAAAGAAGCATGGAGTGTGGAGGGTACCATAAAATCCAATGATCAAAGGAAGTGAAAGCAGCATGCAATGCAGAGGGGAATTTCTGTTCCAACATGGCTTTCGTAAAATAATGGAGGAAAAGCCAATGCAGAATCAGCCACCAGGAAGTAAAAGCAGGATTGGAGTGCTCAGATTGGGAAGGATTCCCCCTGCAGTATGAATGGCTAAATAGCAGGAGGTTTGGCGCCAGGCCTGGGACTAGGATTGCCTACTTCAGGCTGGGAAACTCCTGGAGATCCTATGGTGAAGTCTGAGGAGTGCAGAGTTAGGGAAGGGGAGAGGCCTCAGCGGGATATAATGCCACCAAGTCCACCCATTTTCTCCAGGGCGACATCTCTGTTGTCTGGAGTTCAGTTGTAATTCTGGGGACCTCTAGGCCGCATCTGTAGGCTGACAAACCTAGGCCTAGCAGCACTCTCTGGGTGACTTGATCCCACCTGACTTGCATGATTGAACTAGGCCTGGCTGCTTGCTAGTATTCAACAGCAACTACCCTATGAAAGTCAGTGTAATATAATGGTCAGAGCTTCAGAGTAGGATTTGCGAGACCCAGGTTTAGATCCTCATCTTGCTGTGGAAACTCACTGGGTGATTTTGGACCAGTCACAAAAGTTCAGCCTAACCTACCTCATAGGGTTGTTGTGTGGATAAAAAGGAGAAGAGAATAATTAAACTGCTTTAGTCCCCACTGTGGAGAAAGTCCATAGTTTTCCTCAGTAGAAGCTGGAGGGGGAAAGGAGATGGAAAGCTGAAGATAGAGGAGCAGATAAAGGTAGGTTGGCTGTTGGATGGGAAGGAGATAGGTATGCCAACTCCAGGTTGGAAAATTTCTGGATATTTGATGGGTGGAGTCGGAGGATGGTGGGGATTGAGATGGGGAGGGACTTCAGATGGATACAATGCTCTAGACTCTACCCTCCAAAGCAGTCAATTCCTCTAGGGGATCTAATGTTGCCAATGTCCAGGTGAGGGATGGAGATCTCCTGGAATTACAACTGATCTCCAGGTAACAGAGATCAGTTCCCCTGAAGAAAATGGCTGCTTTGAAGGGTGGAGTTTATGGTAATATACCCTGCTGAGGTCACTTCCAAGCTCAAACCTCATCCTCCCAAGGCTCCACCCCCAAATCTCCAGGAATTTCACATGGTTCTGGCAATCCTAAAAGGAACTGATCTCTGCATTTGGGCAATCCATTGTGATTCCTGGAGAGCGGCTGCTTCCACTGCTGCTGTGGGAGGGGGAGTAGGTGGGAGGCCGGGAGAGTGACGGGCAGAAAGAGTGATGGGGTGGGGGCAGAAAGGAAATGACAAGCATGGAGGGGAGAGAGAGTAAGAAAAGTGGTGGCAGAAAGGAGAAAAAGTGTGAGAGTGTGAGAGAAGAAGGGAGAGAGGGGCCAGATGAACTGCGGATGTAATTTCTGAACCTCTGTCCATTATTTCTGAGAATTCTTGGAGAACAGGTGAGGTGCCAAAAAATTGGAGGCGGGCAAATGGCCCCATCTTCAAGAAGGGGGAAAAAGAGGATTTGGGTAACTACCAATCCATCTATACCTGGGAAAGTTTTAAAACAAATCATCAGACAGTCCTTGAGCATTTAGAAAGGATGGCTGTGATTACGAAGAGCCAGCATGGGCTTCTTAAGAACAAGTCAGGTCAGACTAACCTTATCTCTTTTTTTGAGAAAGTTACTACCTTGCTGGATCAGGGGAATGCTGTAGACATCATTTATCTTGATTTCAGTAAGGCTTTTGATAAGGTTCCACATAATATTCTTGTTGGCAAATTGGTAAAATGTGGTTTGGATCCTATTACTGTTAGGTGGATCTGTAACTGGTTGACATATTGCACCCAAAGAGGGTTGCATCAGTGAATAGGTTTTGTGGCCCTTTCTTACACAGCCAGGGAAATGCTGGTCGCCACTTTGGGGACAGGAAGCAATTTTTCTACAGGCCAGTTTGGCTGGAGGTCCCGGAGGTTTTTTGTCATCTTCTGGACAT